GAGGTCCGTCTGCCGTGTACTAACCCCTCGTCTCCCTGTCCGTCAGGCTGCTGCGCGATGTCTCTCTGGACGAGTGGAGCGGCACGCCCGAGTCGGCCGGCCGGCCGGCGCCGCTGCGTCGCAACCGGTCGCTGCCGGTGCGCCAGCGGCTGCTCTCGGCGGCCGACTCGCCCGCGCTCGACAAGGAGAACGCGCCGCTCCTGTCGCCGGCCGCCAAGCTGGACGGCTCGTTCGACTTCAGCAGTCCGAAGCGGGCCTCCTACAGCGACAGGTGAGGCGGCGCCGGCGCCGCGGACGGCCACGGCGGGTACGGGAGCAGTGAGGCGGGGTCGGTGGCCTAGGCGATGCTAATTCATTAGTTGTAATCGCACTGAGTTTGATCATTCTCATAAATTATGATATTTTTGTTTTCTAGTTACTTGAACTTTTGTTTCATTAAACTTTGTTTAGTCATTGATTTTGTCATAACAGTTCTACGTGCTGGTTGTTTTTGGTGTTGGGGAGCTGTCTGACCGACCCTCCCTCCCCTGGCCAGGTCGGCGCGTGCTCCGGACGGCGGCTGCTCGCGGCGGCTGCCGCTAGGCCAGCTGCAGCGCGCCGCGCCACACAAGGCCGAGCTGGCCGAGACGGCCGACCCTTGCTCGCAGGACAGCGGCTATGACGCGTCCGAGAGGGACGACTTCCGGTTCGCCGCGCCCACGGCGCGCCCGCCGCGTCGTGTCCGCTCGTCGGCGTCGTCCGGCTCGTCGGGCAGCAGCCCGGCGCGCCTGCAGCGCTCCGACTCGGACGGATTCATGGACGCCATCGCGCTGGACACGATGGACGAGAGCGCCATGCCGGCCGGCCTGCAGGAGCTCCTCTCGGCGCCCATCCTCCACAGTCCCGCCAGCGAGCCGGCCGCCGCCGCCGCCGGCCAGCCCGCGCACCGGCGGCCGCCCATCCGGCGCTTCCTCTCCATGGTCGAGCACCCGACCACCGACGCCGCCAGGGCGCACGCGGTGAGTGCCGGCGGCCGTCCGCAGAGGGGCTGACTTGATGTTTGCTGTCGTCCGCTCAGTGAAGTCGGCTCTGACATGCCCCTGTTAATGATGTAGCTGATGCAGCCCGCTCTGACCGCTCGTCTCCGTGTCTCCCCCAGACCCTGACGGACCGGATGCCGGTGCCGGTGCCCGGCCGGGTGGGCCAGTTCAAGCGGCCCGAGCCGCCCGCCCACGAGCCGTGCTCGCCCACCCGTAAGCGGCTCTGCTCGCTGGCCGAGGCGTCTCCGTCTCCGTCTCCGTCCCCGCCGCGCGCCTTCGAGCTGCAGCGGTCGGAGAGCCACCGGCTGACACCGGTCAGCGAGCGCGTGCGGCCACTGCAGCGGTGCTTCTCCGAGTCGGAGGCCACCATCAAACGGGCCGTCCAGCGATGTGAGTGTGTGAGACGGACAGACGGAGGCGGCGGGAGGCGGACTTTAGGCTGTGGGAAGCGACTGGGGTGCCGGGATGTACAGAATGAAATTAGTGCTTTATGTTCAAATGTAACTGAAGTTTAGTTTTCAAAATCACTCAGTATCGATTTATCGTTGCTCGTTGAAGTGTTGTATTTCGTACGATGCACACTTGCCGTTTCTGTCCCGTTGAGCGCACACCTGACCGGCGGCTGGCGCTCTGTTTCAGCGTGCCAGGACCCGGACCTGATCGGCGACAGCACGCGTCCCTACGTGCTGCCGCTGGTGCACACCTCGCGCAACAACGACCTGAAGGCCATCAGCGGCGAGACGCTGGCGCGCCTCATGGACGGCCACTTTAACCACGTGGTCGAGTCGTTCGAGATTGTCGACTGCAGGTAAGCGGCGGCTCGGCGGCGCCGGGTGGGCGGGCGACTCCTGGTATTTCAACCGTTTCAAAGTGGCCAGTGGTCGGTTCCTCTGCAGATATCTGGGACCAACGGCTGTTTTTTTTTTGTTGTTGCTGTAACAGCTGACCGTTGAATGGCTCCTCTCCCGGAGTTACCCGCCTCAGGTCGGCCTGTTCCCCCCTGTGACACGCTCTGCCCGTTCCGCCAGGTACCCGTACGAGTTTGATGGCGGCCACATCCGCGGCGCCGTCAACCTGTACACCAGGGACGGCATCCACGAGCGTCTGCTGGCCAACCGGCGCGCGCTGCCGCCACCCTCCGAGGCCGACCAGATCGCCGACAAGAAGCGCCACATCGTGGTGTTCCACTGCGAGTTCTCGTCGGAGCGCGGGCCGAGCATGTACCGCTTCCTGCGAGAGCAGGACCGCAAGCTGAACAAGGCCACCTACCCGGCCCTGCTCTACCCGGAAATCTACCTGCTCGAGGGCGGCTACAAAAAGTTTTTCGAGCGGCACTTGGAACAGTGCGAGCCGCGCACGTACAAACCAATGAACAAGGAGGGGCACGAGAGTGACCTGAAGCACTTCCGCGCCAAATCCAAGTCCTGGGCGGGCGACAGCCGGGCGCGGGGCGTCTCCAAGCGCATATTCTCGTGATGGGAGTGCGGCTAGAGACGAGTAGCGGCCCGGGCGCCGTGTGCCGCCGTGCAATAGAGGCGCCGGCCGCCGCCGCCCCGTGCTTGACGTGTGTGATATCAGCTGTTACCAAAGTGGCGCGTCGCCGGCCCGTGTCGCCAGATCAGCAGGGACCACAAATCTATAGACGGCTCCGGCCCGACACCCCACGCTCACTGTCAGAGGCATTGTAGTAGTGCGCCGCGACATGCTTAGTTAGGCCTATGATCTGATTGATTGACTGGCGACTGGTTGATGGGTGCTGAGCGCCGCCGTCGGCACGGCGACTGTTTTATGTATGCGACTGAGAGGGACCGGGCGGCCTGCCGGCGGTCCGGAGGGCCGCCCAGCCGTGCCGCCGTGCCGGCCGGCGGCCCGCCCGCAGCGTCCCGACAGACAGGGCATTCGCGGCGCAGTGTGTGCGCCGGCCGCGTGCGGTCTGGGCGCCGGGTGTGAGGACGACAGACAGATCTCTGAGCACTGCCCGCCGCCCGCGGCGGAACAGTGGAAATTCAGGCGCCTTGAGCGCGTCCGTGTTTGATTCTGTTACGCGGCTCCGTCGCTGGCGGACCGAGCGCCGTTATAGGAATAAATTCGCGTACCTCACACACAGATACAGAGCGGCGTTTGGATGTCAGCAGGGGACCGAGTCGTGGCTTAGGAGTGTCAGTATTGTTCCGTTTACAGTAACTTGGCAATGATTGGTGGGATCGCCGTGAGACGGGACATATCCCTACCGGGCGATGCCTCCCCAACTGCTCACGTACAGGGACTGCATCGACATCTCAAGAACCGCCGGACCGAGTGCACTGTACTTCGGTGCTCCGTTGGGGGGGGGGGGGGGGGGGGCGGTTAGGACGGTGAGCCACGGAAGTCGGTGGGAGTTGCCGCTTGCACACGTGCGCACGGGTAGGCTCTGTACTGAGCTCGTTCATTCGTCGCCCAAAAGGCGACTCGCTGGCATTTTGGGAGCGTTCCTTGGCTTTTGCAAATCGAGCTCTCGAAATATGGTAATCATGACATGAAGAGTTACCCGTCTATGCATTGGGTAAACGGAGCTATCTTTGCAAGTTTAACCCTCGCATGTGTGCGGCGTTTTCCAGCTTCTAATGTGTAGGGGGGGGGGTCGGTTGGACCCCCCCCCTTGCCGTTTGGCCCCTGATCGAGCTAGAGCTTCGCGGAAAAAACGAGCGTGTTGCCCGTGACGAGAGGAAGCCGATGATACCCAATTTTAAGGTCCTAGGTCATTGGTTGACCTTCCAGGTCAGGTCAATGACCCAAGGTCGGGAAAATCGGGACCTGTTAGAAAGTCGTAAAGTGTGGCTGCTAAGGGGTTTTTCGGGGTGCTGATCACGAATATCGTGTTAGTTTTGATCACAGATGATGTCTTTAAGCATTTAGACCAGGTCGGGTCAGGTCAGGTCAGGTCAACCAGTAGGCGTCGTGACGGGTATTAGTATTACGTGTCAACCGCCTCTGACAGCTTCGTAACATGTTACGAAGTCACCAAAACTACTTCGTAAATGTTCAAATGGTTGCTAAATTCGAATTCAGCTCCAAAAACTAGCCTAGAAACATGTAAAACTCGAAAAAGTGAACCGAGGTCACCAAAGGTCAATGACCTGACCTGACCTTCAGGTGACCTTGACACCCACCCTAATGCATGGGAGCAACATCAAATCACATGTTTGAACGTTTGAAACCACGAAAAGCTTGCAAACGCGCGGCTAATGCGAGCCGACATACGCGGAATCGCGATTCCGGCCAAACATGGTCTCGGAAAAGAGGTCACAGGTCAAAGGTCATTGGGGTCAGGGTCATGAAATTTTCAGGGTAGGTGTAAAATTGATCAATGCGAGGGTACTGAAAGTTTCGTCGCGATCGGCCGCTTTTTACGCGAGTTATTCGCGAAAAACCATGGGGGGGGGGGTCCATCCGACCCCCCCCCCCTACACATGCGAGGGTTAAAATGAGGATTTCACCCCGTTGCATGTATATGTATGCGGATTTTTACACGTACTACGTATTTGGGCTTGAAGACTCGCTAACAAGCGGTGATCTGGCTGAATGCGGATTTCGTCACCAGGACCGCGGTGATACACTCGGTATACAAGTTAAAGAGCCACCGTAACTTCTGGCGAAGTAGTAGGTGGGCGCCCGGAGCTAGGAGAAGCAGAACTACTGTACCGCAGGGCGCAGCGTCTCCAGTCCAAATAACCGCAGTCGACCGCAGTGGTGCCCCCTATCGGCATAGCGGCGAACTCATACTACACCCAGCGGCCAATTCGCCGCCCTGGCTCGTGGTCGGCTGGTCGCCACTGTGCCATCAACGCAGGTACGAAAACCAGACTCAATGGCTTTCATAATTCCGACTCACTTTGTCATCGCTTCACGCTTCAGCCACGGCATCTCGGTTTTCCTCTAATACCAGAAATATAGGTCAAAGAACCACATCGCCGAGGGCACGGGAGGCGTGTAAAGAAGACGTAAATCAGTAGATGTCGGCTGTCACCTGCAATTTATTATCTTGTCCAACGATAACAACACAGACTGGGTGTATACGCTGTGGTAAGTGTAAATCGGCTAAATCGGCATCCATATCCAGCCAGCCAACAGAGTACATCAAAGGATGGGGTCTTCACGCTAAGCCGAGGCAATAAAAACATCCTCAATTTAGCAGCAACATCCAATTCAGCTACACATCTGAAACTTCACCGCTTCCGCAAATAACGCGAACACTGAAACGTGACTGCACACTTATCACGGCGACTGTCGGCAATAATTTAGAGTCCGCTGCCGTCGGCGCCGCCAGACGCCCAGTGGACACCACCTCTTTGGCGGGGCGGGCGCCACACACGGGGGCGGGAGGGCCGCGCCGTCCACAGCAGTGACTAGAGCGCGCAGGCCGGCCGCTCACTTGGCCTTGCCCTGGTTGGCCACCGACTCCATGGCCTTTTTGACCGTCTCCGGGTCGCCGAGGAACTGCATCTTCCTGATGGGGCGCATGTGCTCGTCCAGCTCGTACACGAACGGAATACCTGCCGGACGGCGGGGCGGGGCTCAGAGAGGGACCAGCTCACCAGGCGGACACATGGGCGCTCACGGCGCAGACGGAACACAATGAGCGGAACGACAGTGACAATGAAATGTTATTTCCCAGAGGCGGACCCCCAGGGTTCCTCCTTTCAACATGCTCGTTCCTAAAAATAGAACACGTGGCAGCTGATGGCATTCTTGTACAATCCATCTATCCATATTTAACCTTTTTGCAGGTACTATTCAAATATACACACGAATTAAAACGTGCTATCCATCTATCATTTCTGTTCTATACATAATCAGACAAATTAAAACGCGCTCTCGAAACTGCCTAAAACATACAAAGAACGGAGAAAGAATATAAGTTAGGCGCCGTTCTAAGTCACAGCACGTCGGCCCGGTCTCGGCCGGCAGCCCGCGGTGCCCGCTCACCCGTGGGCAGGTTGAGACCCATGATGGCCTCGTCGGACATTTGTTCGAGGTGTTTGACGATGCCTCGCAGACTGTTACCGTGGGCGGCGATCAGGATGCTCTTGCCCTGGCGGATCTGCGACGTGTGCCAAGGGAGCACGTCAGCCAGTCAGTCACCTACCTAGTGGCGGAGGACGGCGCGCACGGACGGCCCACAGAGACACCTGGCGGCCGCGCTGGTAACACTGCCCCGAGACACTTGCTACACGGCAAACGGACGGACCGCACAATCCTAAACAAATAATCACGATTGAGAGGCACACTTCTCCCTCCCATTGACTGCACATCAGCTGAGCTCCGGTGATTGCCCACGCTCCCTGAAACCATCCCCGAATACCCGCGGCGGCCGTGACCGGTCACCGGCCCGCCCAGCGCCGAGCCGGCCCGTCGGCCCGCCGCGCCACCAGCCACCCACCTGAGGTACGATTGTGTCGTTCCAGTACGGCAGCGTCCGCTCAATCGTCCTGAAAAGGGGCACAGCCACGCCGCATTCTCATCCTCGTCTACAGCTGGGGATTCGAACGCAACAATGTGCACATCGAGAACCAGTGAAAGGACGATAACATTTGTAGCATTTTTATACTATTCTTCGAAAGTGGAACATTCTATAATAATTTACCATATTTTACACTTTGCATTGCATTACACTCGACGCTGTCACGGAATTAAACAATAAAATCACTCGCAAAAATAATAATACGTCAATCGTCTCGCCTTTGGCTCGACGAGTAACATACTACAGGGTGATCGAAAAAAAGTGTCACCCCTATTTTAAAAGCCATATAACTCGCGATTGGTTGGTCGTACGACTTTGCGCTAGGCAGCATTGGAAAGAGCATACAATTTCCTTTCGAATGGATGTAAATATGCATGGTTTATGCCGCAAACGAAGATGTAGCTATTCAAAAAGTACGTTAAGGACGCGATTTGGCGTGTTCAAAAGTTTGGTTGTGCAAATTTGTACTTTTGACAGAGTTTTTGATCTGACAGCTCACGTGACAGCTCACGTGAGCATTTTTCTTAACTGTTCCCATGGTTACTGCTGCATAAAATTGATAATCCGGTAGTGCAGGTTGTCGCAATGTTTCGCTAGTTACCGGCGAATTTGTGAATAATGAGGCCGCATGTTTGCAAGGAAGATCTGATAAGGTCTTCCTTATCTAAGGTCAGCTGAGAAACGAGTCTAAGGTCAGCTGAGGAACAGTCTGCAGTGAACAACATACGCTCCATGTGTAATGTGTAAGGTGTGTGTCATATTGAGTTACGCTACTCATTGTTCTCGTTCAGCGGTGTCCGATCCCGTTCGGTGAATTTCGTTTCACGTGAAAGCCGCACATTGACTGGTTTTTGAGCCCATGGGGACATGATTTGGAATAGAAAACAATCATGAATACATTCAATTGAAAAGAAATTGCCTACTCTTTCCGATGCTGCCTGGCGCGAAGTCATCCGACCTACCAGTCGCGAGTTATACAGATTTTAAGTTAGGGGTGACATTTTTTTTTCGATCACCCTGTATTTTCTAATTGTGCTTGTAACGTGGTCAGCACGAAACTGAACAAAATTAGATTGAGCATAATCTCGCCAATAATGGATGGATTTTAATGATTTTTGGCAGGTGAATACTTTCAGTTGTTTTATAATAGTAGCTCAGCCTTCAACTTTCTACCAGCAACTAGTGGAAAACATTGCGCCGTCAAGTCCGCAAGCGTTCCGGGACCTGTTCGAAGATTAAAAAAAAACTCAAAATGCAAAAACCTTTATGCACCTCTGGGTGCTAAGGTCAAAAATGCTCATCGATAAGTTCTGAGGACTTGCAGATGTTTCACATGGTGGGAACAGCCAGCAAGATCACCGAGAAAATGCTCATCCAGCTCCAGAAGAATCAAAGCAGCACTGCCACCGAAAAGCTGGGGTTCTCCCAGCGAATTCTGGCCAGAAATTTTGGGATCTTCAAAACACATGTCCAATTAATACCTGAAGAAGCAGGAACCAAGAACAGAAATAAAATAAAGTCTCCCCAGGCAACGGAGTCACAAGTTCGTGAGCAGAAAACCCGCCTGCGCTGTCACAGGGTCCAAAGAAGGGCAGCAAAAGCATAAACGTAATTATAGATAATGAAGCTTACTTCACCTAGAGCGGCAGCCAGATGCCTTCCTAGCTGGTCGACTTCCACACCTCAGCTCATAGGCGGCGGAACGGGGAGGGCACCGGGGCACCGTGCCCCCCTTTGATTTTGGCAGTTTAACATTAGCCCTACGGGCGTTGTATGCAAAGAATGGGACCAAAAGTCGGCAATGCCCCCCCCCCACACCCCTTAATTGAAGGTGTTCCGCCGCTACTGCCTCAGCTGATGGAGACACTCTTCCAGATGTGGGCTGGGTCTCACCTTCGACTTGGGAGCAAGTACCCACCCACGATGCCCGTTTGGCAATGCCCATGGGTCCGAGAGGGATCACGTGTCCAGTTGCTTGCCTAGCACAGGCAAAGTAACGAGTGAAGTGTACCTACTATGAAAAGTGTCTGAATGTCTGAATGAGTGTTGTTACCATTCATCGAGACTCAATGCACAAAACTTTGGTTCCTTTTTGGTCCGACCTTGCAACCTTCACAGCACGCGCTTCAGACCGCGAACTTCTTGAGGAGGCTGGGGTGCCCTTAGTAGCACGTGACATGAACCCGCCGTGTACCTTCAGCTTGGGCCCACTGAGGATCTGTGGGGGCTTATCAAACAGAACGTGTATAGGGGAAGGTGCCAGGTCAGCTGAGACGCACATTTGAAGCAGAGAATCCATGCGTCACATCGACCCGGAGGTGCCGCGAAAGACAATAGCGGGGTTGCCAGCGCGTGCGTCTGGCGGCTTACCGAGGTCCAGTGTCTCAGATCCACTAGGCCGAGGGTGCTCAGAACTAGGCACGATAACGCAATGCTTGATACATTTAGCGCACTAGCTGTTCAAACTTTATCCAGTTTCATACCGACCACCCGTTAGTTTAATTACTGTAGTACATCAGCCCCCTGCCCACTAGCAATGGCCCCAACTCACAGTTTGAGCGACTCGAACATGGGGAACTCGCTCTTGCTGGGCCCGTCCTTGTAGCGCGGGTCTTCCAGGATCACTTTGTAGTAGGGGTTGTCGGGCGTGATGGGCGGCGGTGGGATGTCGAAGCTGCGCCGCCAGATTTTCACCTGGCCGGCACAGACACACGGCCGCCCGTCAGACTCCACAGTAGGTACAGGACCACGGGGACTTGGCCGCCCGTCAGGCCCCACAGTAGGTGCAGGACCACGGGGACTTGGCTGCCCGTCAGACTCAACAGTAGATGCAGGACCAAGGGGACTTGGCCGCCCGTCAGGCCCCACAGTAGGTACAGGACCACGGGGACTTGGCCGATCGCAAGTGACAGACGTTTGGCCGGAAAATGCGCCTCCCAAACTCTTTCTATACGACACTGATTGTCGCGGAGGCTGAATGCAGTATGAAGAGTCCCTCCTCTCCCACCACCCCGCTACAGCCACAGAATGGTGAACAATGATGTTGGCACATTTCCACAGCAACAGCTATCAAGAGCCATTGTACAATGGCATGGTACCTTTCCCCAGGCATATGTGGCTCTGATCTGCCCAGAACCTGTGCCTCCACCCTCACCGATCTGCCCCTTTTGCAATCAACACTAGCATCAAAGGCTCCCTATCAAAGAAAACCAGGTACCTTATCAGGAAGATATGTAAGCAATCCCTTAGATGCTGTTGAAATGCAGCACTTTTTAAACCTCCCTGTGTGAAAGGATCTGTAAGTATACCTTGATATCTCTGGGTCTTAAAACAAATCAACATTTGTAATGATTTTATCATCTCATCTATCTTGTGGGCCTGTGGCTAAGTGGCCCATGGTCCCAGTAAAAGGATACTAACAGCTTTACGATTATTTTCAGGATCAACTTCACATTCCTAGCATAGGCGGCAGAACGGGGAGGGCACCGGGGCATCGTGCTCCCTTTTGGTTTTGGCATTTTAACATTAGCCCTATGGGCATTGCATGGAAAGAATGGGACCAAAAGTCGGCAGTGCCCCCTTAATTGAAGGTGTTCCACCGCTACTGATTCCTAGAAACTGCAGGTTTAGGTGTGCCACATTTTGGACACTTCAGCTTGGGCATCATCACCCCCTCCATTTACCTGTTCCTCGCCGTGCTTGGCGGCCGTCTCCGCCTTGTTAAGACCGGTCAGCCCGCCGTAGTGGCGCTCATTCAGGCGCCATGTCTTCTTGATGGGGATATCCTTCTGGCCCAGGATCTCAAGAATGGTATCCAGCGTCTTGTTGGCACGGGTCAGGACAGATGTGTGTGCGATGTCAAATTTCATCTGTGCCTTTTTGAGTGCCTCTCCTGCTGACTTGGCCTCCTCGATGCCTGACAAAAATGAGGGACGCAGCAACAAAAGGCTCAATGTGCGGCCTTCAAATAATCAGTTTAAATTACTGATAAGTGATAACTGTGGGCACCTAATTTGAATTGATAACTCACAAACCACACATTAAAGGAAATAGTTCACTTTTAACATGGGGTTTTGAACTGGAATAGCAGTTTCGTAGCTTGAGCTGAGACTAGCACAAATCAGGAGCTTTTACGGCTCAATGATCACCCTAGACGAAGATATTCCATTTCCCGTTCCGAAAAGAGTGCCTTGCAGAGGAATGTGTGCCTTGCACAGGAATGCAGCCACGTCATCGTCAGCCAATCAGCATGCTGCTTACAGCCAATGCAGTATGCGTAGGTTTGAACTACGCGATATGATTGGTCAACGCGTAATAAGCTTCCGCGTCAAACATTATTTTACGTAGAATATAGTTCGTCCTATATTAATATATCGAAAAAATTGTTTTTACAAAAAGGTTTTATTTTATTTCATGATCATTTTGAGCATAAAAAATCATAAATCAATAGCAAAATACTAATTTCAAGAAAGTGAACTGTTTCCTTTAACATGTGATCCCATTGAACTTGGCACTGCCTGGGTTAGAGTTTGCATCAAAGATGATTACGGAGCGAGCGAAGCGAGCGTAGTCTTTCCTTAGATTAACGGAAATTTCTGAGTATGAGCGGCCGGCCGGCCGGCCGTGGGGACGCTTTTGCGAGGCTCATATCTCAGCAACCACTTGACTGATTTACATGCGGTAATTTTTGTAGGGTAGCTTCATTCCTTCTACCAAGTATTGGACTATTCCCGATGCATTTGGGTGACCCCTTATGCACGTACCACGTGCAAAACGAAGAGGTGTCAGTTTTGTAATTGTTGCAATATCTCGGTAATTACTTGGCCGATTGCGCTGAAAGTTGGCATGTAGGTAGGCACCCACTAGGCACTGCATATCCATGTGCCAGAGTTGGGGTGCTGCTGCACGTGCGCACGTGCAGGGGTCGTTTCCAGATCTCGAGAACGGCTCGACCGATTGCGCTCAAATTTGGTACACGGTTACGGACCAGAATTAGTAGGGTGCCGTGCACAAGTCAGTTGGGACCCATTTTGCACGTGCGCACGTGCAGGGTGCCGCTCCCAGATCTCGAGAACGGCTGGGCCGATTGTGCTCAAATTTGGCACATCGCTAGAAACCGGTCAGTAGGGTGCCGTGCACAAGTCAGTTGGAGGTACCCCCTCGAAATTTCGCACGTGCAAGACTCACCCCTCGCTCGCTCCGTTAGTCGCCCCAAAAGGCGCTATACTGGTTGTAAGTCATATGACGGAAATCATGGAATTACGTATAGCAAGTGTCTTACCTTTCGGGCTAAGGTTGGCATCATACCATCCACAGAATTTGTTTTCTTGATTCCACTCACTCTCTCCGTGACGAATCATTACAATTTTATGTGTTTTGCCCATATTTACCTCTGTCTTATTTCTAGCTAAATAGGAAAATGAGCGAGTGTCAACCAAAACACTGCAAACCGGAGACCGCAATGCTTTTGAATATCCGGTAGAAAATCGCATCCAACGACCGCAACGACCGAAACCTCGCGCGACGACCTTCAGCTGATCCCTCAAGGGCGAAGATACCCAGAGCCTGTGCATTAAAACACTGCAAAAATAAGCAAAAGGATTTTTTTGGTGCTAAGTTACTGCTAAGCGCTTGGTTAAACAAAGAAAGACAGACACGGTCTTCAGAATAATCTAAAGCATGTCAAAATACTATATAATAAATTATTGATTTGTTCACTAATCACTGTTCAGTTTATGAAATATTAGCTAGCTAAGAAGTCGTGATTCAACTCAAGATTCTTACACATTCAGATTCAGCTGATGTCGTTTTCATGGACTTATATGATTCAATCTTTCGGAAATATCTTTTTTCAATTGGCACAAGAACTTTTGGGTGGGCCTGAGAGGAAAATGGGTCTTCGCTGTAGTACGGCCTTGGCTGTAGTATGGTTCTAATCGACGCGCGTTCTATAGCCGAACACGTCACTAACTGTACCTATGCCATAAAAATCCGCGATATAGCATGTGGATTGTGGACGGACGCTTCCAACAATGCTGATTGTCTGGGTGGTGAAAAATAAACTGCATTCCGATCATAGATCCGATGAGCTTAACCCCGCGTTCGATGTCTCTTAGACGGCGAAGATTCTACGCCGTCCGGCCAATCACGTTCCACAACCGCAGCCGAGCCCCCACTGACCTTGAACGGGATTGGCCGGACGACGTAGAATCTTCGCCGTCCGAGAGACATCGAACGCGGGGCAAATGAACCCCTTTTGCCCGGTTGTGCCCGGTGGATGCCGGTGGGCCTCCGTATGGTGCTGCATTCTGGTGTTCATAGTTTGAAGCATTAGTACTTATTTTGGTAGGTTATCCCGTTGCATTCTTTTATAGAAATCGAGGAGAATTACTCTTCAAAGACAAAAAATAAATTATTTATAATTTTTGAAGAGGTATTGCTGATTTATCCGACGAAATAATAATCCAACAAAATTTCCCTTCACACAAATTCTATGTGGCGGCCATGATTGCAGTGCGCTGCATTTGCCTCATTTTCGTTCCAGTTGATGACAGTTTTCCATGACCTTCAGGCGTTGCGGTAATTGTGGTGCCGTGTTGTTTCTTTGACAGTTATTTAAAATTGTATTGGGATCAAGGCCAAAGATAACAACCGTGAATCGGATTTGTGTATGTTGCGAAATTCAGTGATAACCGTCGATGTTTGCGAACGAATTGCTGCAGTGACAGGGGTCGATACAGATTGAGGCGTTTCAATGCGGCACTCCTGGGATGATTGCTGGTAGGTAAGTACATAATCGCTGCATTTCAGTTTGAGAGTTGATGGCTCACTCAAGAGACATAGAATTACCATTTTATTAACTTTCAAACCTTTGATGTCTTATTGTGATGGTAGGGCCAGGGGTATACTAGACTGCAAATGATGGTTGCCGTTCGAGGTAGGTGCCCTCAGGGGTTGCAGCAATGAGCGTCACTGAATTACCGAAAAAGTTAAATCATAGCCTACATTGTCATCTAGTTTTCAAGCTACAACAATTAGAAATATTACAATTAAGAAGTGTGACAATTTGTGTTGTGATCTCCTAATAAGTCAGTAGGCGGAACTATGGTCAAGCGTACCCATTTTCGGGAACGCATTTTCGTTCTCATGTTTGGGAACAATAAACCCAAATATGGGAACGCCATGTAGGCATTATATAAAACAAGAAAAAGAACCGTTAAATGACGTCCAAAAAATATTATACGATTGTGAACTGCCTGATATTTGTCTCAATATTGTTGGGAAAGAGTTTGATATTGTAAGGCCCATCGTAGTTTCAAATCGTTCCCCTATTTCTAAAGCAGTCCATCATCCGGGCCGCGAGCCCAAATTTGGGAATGCTCTCGTACACTGGCGCTGCAAGCGTTCCTTATTATGGGAACGGCGTACTCAAAATTGGGAACAATTTCACCAACGCCTTTCAGGGGCTCTTTTCATTAACAAGCATCACGTCCAACGCCGCAAATTATTGTTAACGCAACAATCATCAGATGACCTTTCCGGCAAGACCGTCGCATGTTTCGCCCGGTCTTCTGCGCTTTTATTCCCGTCGATCTCGCAGCGGGCACGCCCCCCTCCGCTCAGCAATGTTCAGCAAGGTCTTCCATACCTATATCCACCGTCCGCGCCGAGGGTGGAGACATGTCAAGCACCTGTCTGTTAATCACCGATAGTTGATGAGCACAAGGAAGTATCCAAAAATGGGAACGATGAATAGGTTACACCCTCAAAACACCTACTCCCAATGAAAATCTAGTTTTTTCCTTTCTTAATGAGTGTAAGTGGCAAAAGGCCCGGTAGGATGGGCACGAGGAATGATCGAAATCAGCATAAAAATTATAAATAAGCCACACAGAGCGACCTATATAAGAGAAATTCCTCCAAAACGATCATGCTTAGAAACACGGAAGACAAAAACCACGCTCATGACGCTCCTTATAAAACAACGCTAAACAGCTAGCATCCAAATAAAATAGTCTTTCCAGGCTGATAAAATACAGCTGAATAATTTTAAACCACTGAAACTGAGTTTACAACAATAGTTCGGTAAAATCACTGACGTTCCACGCGGTCGTCCGCCCCGACACCAAAAGTCAACAAAATTACCTCGGGACTGTCCGCGTGTTCGCTTGCATATGTCAGCATTTGGTGTCACTAGTATGAAACTTCATAACCAGGCGAAAATTATTATACTTGACCTCAAAATGTAAAACACGCTTCAGTTTCCTTAAAATTGCATGTTAAATGTAGTATTACCCATGTTTTCACCATTCCGTCATTTCAAAAAATCATTAAAAATATCATTCGACGGTCAATTTCCTTGTTCAACGGTCAGATAAAAGATAATTTTATAGAGACTTAGTAGATACTTAAATTAGCGTGCACTTTTTGGAGACGTGATGCACTAATGAGTTTTAGTGGGCGAACGACCGAAAAATTACCTTCCGTTCTCATAAATGGGAACGCCCGTTCCCATATTTGGGAACTCCGTTCCCAAAAATGGGAACGTTCCTATATTTGGGTACTCATGACCATAGTTCCACCTACTGAAGTGCCCTCAGGCCAGTCTGCAAAGTATGGCAATTTCAACGAGATCTCATCTGTGCGGGCTTGTTTGGCTGGTTCAGATTTGGTGCAGTGCGGATTTTGGCTTGGTGCGGTAGGGATGTGTAGTGCAGCGCGGAATTGGCTTAGCAATGGACATGACAGACCAGACGAGATAGATGAGGTAAATCAAAGAAAACATTGTTGGAGCTTGGACCAGTGTGCTCTTGCCTTGAACCCGCGACCTGGTGGGGGGGGGGGGGGCTATTTTTTGCCCCCCTCCAGACTTTTCGATATATCTCCAGAACCGCTGCGCCGATCGTCACCAAACTTTCAGTACCCTCCCGGACATCAATTTTACACATTGTGACCAAAATTTTTTTTCCAAAGGCTATGATAGGTTGGCCGGAAATGACGTCAGAGTGACGTCATGTTCTGCCGTTTTTGACCCAAAAAAAGGTTTCGCGGGAAGAGCTGTCAGGCCTATAGCTTTGCAAATACAGAAAAATGATAAAGACATAAGAGCTGTAGAATTGACAGGGCTACAAAACTGCTATCTCGGATTTTTGAAATTTTTGGATTTTGATCCCCAAAAATAAAAAATAGATTTTTTGGATATAATAGTCGAAAAATCCAAAAGGTTTTTTGAATTTTGCAAAAACCGGAATATATGTGATAGTCCTTACCGCTTTCCATCCACATACCAAATTTGAGATTGATACCTCTTTTTTTTTGGCGAAGTTATAGCGAAAAAACTGTTCAAAATTGATGACGTCAAATTTTCAAACTTAATTTTTAGCAATTCTAGACCCCGTAGCGCAAAACAAAGACCACCATTACCCGTGACGAGCTGCATCGAATCGATACCCATTTTATGCAAAACTATCAACTTTAAAATTTGACTTTTTTTGGCCTGACCTTGGCCTGACCTTGACCTGACTTTGACCTGACCTTCACCAGAAAGTGACCCAAGCCGTACCTGATAGTCTTATAACCAACACCATTGAGTTGGAAATGAAAAATTGGCCATAAAACATGCATCACACAACCTTAGTAAAGTTGGGTTCATGTGACCTGACCTGTGACCCTTGGTGACCTGACCTGTGACCTGACCTGGTATTGTTAGTGACCTCTTATAGCAACATATCTACTAGGCAACTGACGCCCTATCGCTGATTCTCGACAAAATGCGTTTTTCTTGGTGTTAGAGGGCATTCCCTAGAAGACCCGTGAACGGTGAAACATTTCATCTTTGACCTGACCTATGACGTCATTGGTGACCCCGAGGTCAATAAAATTTGGTTTCCCTCGACAAATTTGACAGGCCTTTCAAACGCCGTTTGAATTTTGCGGATCCGTCCAGTAGTTTCGGAGATACGAGGGGGGGGGGGCAAAAAATAGCCCCCCCACCAGGTCGCGTTATAAACAGACCCCACCAGGGCGCGGGTTAATTGAGTGTGCTGTGGTCAGAACGGACTATTCCAGCGCCGGTCAGCTTATAATCACGCCCCCAAGTTTGCACTGTTACCTACAACACAAAACGCATCACTCAGCTTTGCGAGGTGATAGAGTGAGAGAGATGAGCGCGTTCATCGAGAGGGATTCGAGATATGCACGGCCGGTGGCAAAGCTAGATCATCGCTTCAAGTAGTCAATTACGAATGATTTGTTGTGTATGTTGGACACAGGTAATAAGTTCATCGAAAGAATATGAGGTTGTTGCATTCTGCAGCATTCGTAAATGAGATGCACATCACATTGACATAGCTAATGGCAGGCCTAGGGGACTACTTTGCCACGGGCAAATAGTCAAATCTGCTGTGAATGACCTGCCGATCAGATTTGATTTGTTGAACAGTCTGTCTTAAACGTACCGCGCAAAGTGACGGTGGATCCCTCAAGCCTGACCGAGGAAGGGCCTGCTAAATTTGGGTCACCGAAGCATTTGGCATCCTCGTCCATTCCCCAGGTCAATTGGTTCGGTGACTTTCAAACTATAGCAGGCCCTTCCTCGGTCAGGCTTGATGGATCCACCGTCACTTTGCGCGGTACTTTTAAGACAGACTGTACGAACTACGATACAGCTGTTGAAGGAAGGGTGCCACCTTCCGAAATTTTTGTTCTATGAATCTATTTTACTTATTTGAATTTTTAGACGTGGTTAGCGCGTCCACAATATACAAAAAACCGAAACATTGCATTTAATACGTTGGCCAAAAAAAAAAGATCGTTGTTTATATCACCACTACAACTCAAGGTCGTTTGATGTGGCAGCTAGGACGGCTGGCATATCCTGTTGTCATGGCAACATATCATTCTGCCATTTGCATTGATGGCGCAACTGAGACAAAAAGATGAACAAATAAAAAGGAAGAAGATAACATGATTTGAACTAAGTTGTAGTAAGTAAGTTGAACTAAGTAAGATACGTCAAAAGAACATCAAATAAGTCGAGTAAAGGTTTTTCCTTTACAATGCTTAAGAGATCTATGGAACCCTTCACCCTTCATGCAACTTACTAGAAAAACTTCCCAATTAAAATTTTAAAACTTAAGTGTATACCATAAAGAAAAAATATACCCTTTCAAAATGATAAAACATGCTTCAAAAGTATAACTTTTATACATACCTTTGCTGATTTCATGTTTTATAAAATACCCTTAACACGACGAGGAAATAGTGCTGAAGATTTTTGCCTGCCCGAATGCTGGCAGCAAAACTCGCAAATGATAACTTCACGTGCGGATTCAATGCTGACCGTCTCGAGCATAGGTAAGTGAAGCCGGTTTTTAGGTTCATGTGAGGCTAATCTTGTAAAAACTGCGTTGTGTCCAAAAGGTGGCACCCTTCCTTTGACCCAACGAAAGACGCCGAAAATGCAAGCATGGGGTGATTCCACATTAAGTTGTTCATAGTCATCTTTGTTTGTATAACTGGGTATGTGTTGCCAAGCCGTTTAGCTAAATGGCGGTGTCGACACCATTGGGGCAACCATAGAACATCGAACAATAATCATTTTTCACCCTGACCCTGGAAGAATCGCCAGGGTATACCTACAAGAGCACGTACTGGATATAGCTCTTGTATTGGGGTGACATGCTTTTTGTTTGAGTTGTGTGGTGCGTATTTCTCGTTTCGTTTCCATACTACTGAGAGGGCAGGTTTGCGGCTCATTTCTCTAATTGAGGTCAGTGTGGATGT